AACACAGTCATATCAAATTAGGACTCACTCTAAAAGCCTCAGCTTAACTTGATTATGTCTGCAAAGGTCCCATTTCCAAATAATGTTACATCACAGGTACCAGGCATTAGGACTTCCACGCATCTTTTTGGAGGTCACAATTTAACCTATAACAGAGGTCATCTAGCCCACCTCTCTACTGGACACATGAATCTGCTGTACAAGCTCTGTCTAGTTTTAAGACTTAGGCACAGGACATGATGGTCAATATAAGTCAAAACCAGGTAGGTGTGGTAGGGGCTGAAAGAAGATCTTAACACTAGGTCATTTCATTCTCACCAGGGTGAGATAGTTGCTGTTGAGCTGATCTGGCCGTAGAAATTAGAGAACTGGGTGGGTAAGTAAGGCCTGAGGGCTGAGGTAGGCAAAGTCTGATGGTGGGCGGAACGCAGAGCCCACCGTTGGTAAATCCAGATTGTGTCAAACATTCTGGAAGTACGTTCATGAATGGTCATTACCTCTAGGTCGCCATAGTCCGAAAGACACATAAAGAAAGTCACATTTGTAATTTTAAATTTTCTAATAGCCGTATTGAAAAAAGTAAAAAAGAAATAGATGAAATGAACTTTAATTACTCTGTGTGTGTGTGTGTGTGTGTGTGTGTGTGTGTGTGCGTGCGCGCGCGCATGTGCGTGTACATTTTTTTTTTTTGAGACAAGAGTCTTACTCTGTACTCTGTCACCCAAGCTGGAATGCAGAGGTGTGATCTCGGCATACTGCAACTTCCACCTCCTGGGTTCAAATGATTCTCCTCCCTCAGTCTCCTGAGTAGCTGGGACTACAGAAGGCTAATTTTTGTATTTTTAATAGAGACAGGATTTCACCATATTGGCCAGTCTAGTCTCAAATCCCAACTTCAGGTGATCCACCCTAGACCTCCCAAATTGTTGGGAGCATGAGTCACAGTGCCCGGCTAACATTATATTTTATTTAACCCAATAGTGGTATATCAAAAATATTGTCATTTTAACATATCATCAATATAAAAATATTAACAGGATATTTTGCTTTTTTCTCCATAGTGAGTCTTCAAAATCCACTGTGTGGAATTCACTTGCAGCACATCACTCGCCATATTTCAAGTGCACATTAGCCATATGTATTAACCTGCTCTAGATTGTAGAAGCGCTACATCTGGGTGGTGGGATCCACTTCGTGGGCTGGGTTGTAGGTGAGAGTCCAGTTCTGGGGAAGAACACAGGCAGGAGCAAAACAGACAGTCAAGGACCTTTGGGGATGAGCTTAGGACAGATCTAAAAGGAAAAGGGGTTTCAAGTGGAGACAAAGTAAATGCAAGGAACAGCGGCCCACTTAAACTTGCTTAAGTAAGGGACAGAGTGGTTATTCACAGGGGAACCTCTTGGAAATGGAGTGTGAGAAGTACACCTGAGCCAGGAGAACTGGCAGGGAATCTGTCAATCACTCTCTTTGTCTCCTTCTTTAGGGTTGAGAAGTCTCTTAGCTTCTCTCTGTCTGCTTTGTCAGTCTCTTTTTATTTTTTTAAAGACTGGGTTTCACCGTGTTCGTCAGGCTGGTCTTGAACTCCCGACCTCGGGTGATCCGCCTGCCTCAGCCTCCCAGAGTGCTGGGATTATAGGTGTGAGCCACTGTGCCCAGCCTTTGTCAGTCTCTTTCTATAAACTCATTTCCTTTTTTTGAGACAGGGTCCTGTGATGTTGCCTTGACTGGTCTCAAACTCCTGGCCTCAAGTGATCCTCCTGCCTTGGCCTGCCAAAGTGCTGTGATTACAGGCATCAGCCATCATGCTTGGCCTTTATTTCATCACCTTGATTTTGGACTTGTAACTTTTTCAAGTAGATAAATAAATGATGAAGTGAAGGTCAGGCATGGTGGCTCACGCCTGTAATACCATCACCCTCAAAGGCTGAGGCAGGAGGATCGCTTGAGGTCAGGAGTTTGAGGCCAGCCTGGGCAATATGGTGAAACCCAATCTCTACAAAAATTGCAAAAAATTAACTGGGTGTGGTGATATGTGCCTGTACTCCCAGCTACCTGGGAGGCTGAGGTGGGAGGATCGATTGAACCTGGGAGGTCGAGGCTGCAATGAGCTGGAATTGTGCCACTGAACTCCTGGGTGAAAGAGTGAGACCCTGTTTAAAAGTTAAAAAAAAAGGGCCGGGTGCGGTGGCTCACGCCTGTAATCCCAGCACTTTGGGGGCCGAGGCGGGTGGATCACAAGGTCAAGAGATCGAGACCATCCTGGTCAACATGGTGAAACCCCGTCTCTACTAAAAATACAAAAAAATCAGCTGGGCATGGTGGCACGTGCCTGTAATCCCAGCTACTCAGGAGGCTGAGGCAGGAGAATTGCCTGAACCCAGGAGGCGGAGGCTGCAGTGAGCCGAG